AAGAGAAAGGGGGAGAATAACACCGGATCCCTCATAACCCGGTCTCCTTCCGTTGACTCGACCCGTTTTCGAGACACTCCAACGCCGATTCCGGCTTTTTCCCCGCGAAATGACCATTTTCACCACCCAAAAAAAACTCCACGACCTCTATTCTTCAAGTTCCACCTCAAATTTGAGTGAAATTAGGCTTGAAACAGAGAGAAACTTCGAGGGTGAGTTCGTGGGTGTCACGGTGGCGATCCACCGTTCGTACAGCCATCACCGTTAACCACCACCATGGGTCAACTCCTCATGAACCCAGGAACAAGTCCCAAGCCTTGGATGAGGCGGTAGAGCACCGGAGGTGATGGATCGAGGCCACCAAAGTTCTAAGGTTCTAGCAAGTTTCGAGACAAATTGGAGCTTTTCCCAGCCAAATTGGACTTGGTCATAGGTATAAAGTTTGTTCTACTCTTTGAGATCTTCATTTTTGTAAATTTTGAGAATTTTTAGAAATAGTTGAAATTTTGCGGCAAGCCGGGGCAGCCGACTGCCATTGGCGGCGGCGCGTGGCCAGAGGGCCGTAGATGACATTTTAAGCCACATTAGATTCTTGAGTTTAAATTTGATAATCGTATGGCGTAGATGGATTGGTTGAACCTAAATTTCGCTACAATACAATGCTTGATTAATTTGGGAATCGACGATCCAACCATTAGATCGTCACCAAACTTTGAGTCATTATAGTACATAATTTTTTAGGACTTTAGGAACTTATGGATCAGGAATCCGACGTACGGATCTTTCCGAATTGGATGTGTAAGTTAGTAAATTAAACATCAATCGCCACTCGAATGTTATGATTGGCGGAGATCCAACCGTCGGATCGAAATGAAATTTTAGTATGTTGTTATAGATGAAGGAAGATTTGTGAAAAACATGTTCATTTAAGCAACATCAATAGCATGCAATTAACAATTAAAGGCAGAATCATGCTTGTATGCACTTAAAACAAAACATTTACCCATGAAATTCAAAGCCTAGTAGATAGGTGAACCAAGACTCAACTCAAAACAAAGTGAGTTGAGAAATCAATACCTTTGTAGATTCCTCTTTGCATAAGCAAAGGCTAATCACCCAAAGAGAGGGCCTTCATTCCTTGCATCTTAGATCCATGGATTTGGATGGATGAAAAGGTTTCTCCAAGTTCCCAAAATTGAGAACCTCTAATGATTCATCACCAAGGCATAATGAAGAAGAAATGAGTGACCTTGGAGGAGTTTGATTGCTAGATGATCCCTCCAAGGTGGCCTAAATTTTAGAGAGAAAGGAGAGCTTGTGTTCTCATCCTTTCCCCAAAAATTACCATATGTAAATTTTAGGCTATAAAGTCCTTTATATAGTCCCTTCAAATAAGTGACCTAATGGACCAAAAGCCCTATTCTTCTAACATGGCAAGCCTATAGGGTTTATTGGGCTTTCAAGCCCTTTGTTTATTCAAGTTGTCATACAACTTGAGTTAATGGGCTTGACATTCAAATCTCATTGGGCCTTGCGGCCCAAAACTAACCCGAGGTCTTTAACGAACTTATTCGTTTGATTAATTAACATATTAATTAATCCTAGCCTTAGATAAATAATTAAACCATTTAATTATTCTTACTCATCTCCGTTGTTTCTTCAAACTCTACCTTACTCGGTGAACGATCCATTAGGTTCCTTTTAGCGAGGCAGTGGGCGATTAAAACTTTTTCTAATCGATTGTGAATTGAAACTTACTTTCAATTCTCCCGTTAGTGATAATACACTTTTAGGGCTTCCACAAACCATGGTTGACGCCTAGCAGCATGTCATGGTTACCCAAGCTAATCAGAAGAGGTGGAGAACCTATTCAGTTTTAGGATTACAAATGCAATACGGTCTTTCTCTAATACAATACTCTTGACCACATTGTTTGGTTTGATAGTTTATTCATGTCTACTATCCAATGTGAGTCTTGTGCTTATATGATTACCTTGAATGTGATTTGGAACACATTCCTAAATCTCATTCATACTTTGGCCAAAGATTCTTAATCATATCATAAAGTATTCTCCCTCAAACAGTTTGAAGGTTAGAGATCCCTTGTTGCGCATTCACTTGCCTCCATGGCTAAGTGGCTTAACCCCAACGATGCCATGGACACCCTCCTGATGGAGTGACTTTGACATAATCAAAGATTAAGGACCTAACCACAAGACAACTGTGATGCCTCAGGTCAAAAGACTAATTTGCATTATCCCAACCATGAGTTTTCATGTGACATGAATATGAGAACTCTTCGTTGATCGTGTTCAGTGAACTCATTCTCTATTGAGCACCTACGTACTTGTCTTGATGTCACACACACCAATGACTCGAGACTAGTCACTCTCCCTGAGAAAAGACATAGCACGTACTGATCTTAACGGACTGTCAATGCCCAATTGACAATCCTATGATCAGGAACGTTTAGGATGTGTCAACGAAAGAATGGTCTCATGAATCTAACTTCTTTAGATCGCATTCTTCCAATCACATATTCCTTGGACTTATCGTTTAAGCATATAACATTTATATGAGACAGCTCAAACAATAATGTTTGCCCTTAATATTAAACTAGATTAGTTTAACATGTGAAATGTCCATAAAGTATCATCATATGATTGGTTTTAGGGCACATTTCCAACAATAGATGCGTAATGTGAACTACGAATGGCCTGATCCCTTTGTAGGGTATGTAGGCAGTCTAACAAGAAGGTTAGATACATCCATTATAAAATAACTGAGATTAATCCTTTCTTGAAATTGAGCTAAGAAAAGAAATTTGGGGCCTATCTTAGTAATTAGCTTCTGAATTAGAAATTTCAGGTCGTTACACCGGCGAAGTACACAAGTTTCAAACCTAGTCCGGCCACGGCAAGAGACCACGATGCTATAATCTTACTCCTTACTCCCTAGCTTCAATTTGACTATTTGTATGCTGAAAATGGTTAAGTTTTGACCTTGATCGGAGTCAGAATTTATTCTGGCCTTCTTTTTCGCCCGCGACTAGGACCGAGTCAACCTGACCCAAAAGGATAAAAAAGAAAAAAAGAAAAGAAGAAGCTCAAATCCGCGACCCGGATCTGGATCCAAACTCGGGATCCAGCTCGGTTCATTTCCTAAATGGATTTGGAATATTCTTAGAATATTCCTTGTGTTGACCTTTTTGAAATTTGTTTGGAAACCCTCTTAGGAAATGGACCGAGCCAGATCCCGGGTTCAAATTTGGATCCGGGTGGCTAATTTGGGTTTTTTTCTTCCCCTCTCAATCTTAATCGCTGGCGAAAGAGAAAGCCAGAATAAATTCTGGCTCTGATCAAGGTCAAAACTGAACCATTTTCAGCGTATAAATATTCAAATTGAAGCTAGGGAGTAAGGAGTGAGATTATACCATCATGGTCTCTCGCCGTGGTCGGACTTGGCAGGAAAAAAGGTTTGAAACTTCCAGACTTCGCCGAAATTTGGGAAATAGTTTCCTCGAGCTATTTTCTGTCATAAAACCAATCCAAAACACATAAGCATGCTCAAAATCGAACCACGAAGACAAAAGTATAAGATTTAGAGTATTCGCGAGGCTTACCAAGGCCTTGAACGGCAGAGGTTCGTTTGGAAAATCATGGTCTCACTAGGAAAATATGGAAATCGAGTTCTGGGGTTCGAGTTTGTAACCTTGGTTCTAGTTCTGGGCTGGAACGTTGATAACCTTCATCGACGTAGCGATATTTGGTGGTGGCTTGAAGGTTTGGCTTGCCGGAGATGGCGAGTGGTGGTGGTTCGAGGCAGTTGTACCCTCTCGATGCTTGCCGAGGAAGAGGGAGAAAAAGAGTTAAAAGTTTGAAAGACGTGAGGTGGCAGAAAATGAAAGGTCCAAGAGAATGGGGGGACATGGGATAGTTGGAGTGGGGATCCCACGTGAGTGAGTTCCCACCAGACAGAAAAGAAGAAAAAAAATCTCCCTGAAAATATTAAAAGAATCATGGCATATCTAGAATAGTGAATTTACCAAAATGTCCTCGGTAATCAGTTGTTTTGTAAAATAGTCATCGTAGCTCCGAATTAGGTTCCACTTATGCCCACACATTTGCATCGTCGAGTATTACAAGATGTGCTAAAAGAATGGGTCATACGTCTCGCTACATGACGGTCAACGAAAGTCAACATTATCACCTTTAGGGGTATTTTTGTCAATTCACTCTTTTAAAATTTATAGAATCGTAAAATTTGGGACGGATTGTTACACTTTAACTTTTTCAAATTCTTTAAAATCAAATTCTATTGAATACACCTAGAATGTTATAAACATCTTTAAAATCTAAATTGAATACACCCAAATTTCTAAAGATTTTAATAAATTATTTTAAAATCCTGATTGAATACACATTGAATTTCAGAGAATCACTTAAACTTCTGATTGAATACTCCTAGATTCATTAAAAGAAATAAAATTCATCAAAATCTCAATTAAATACTCCCTCCGTAGTATACTTTTGAGGGGTTAAGTGAGAGGTGAGCTTTGAGTTTTATAAATGGGGTACGACCATAAATAAGCCTATACATTAATTATATATTACAATATGGTGACTTTTTTTTTATTTTACAAACAACAGTATTAATATGTTAAATTATTAGTTATCAAGAGAAAGGAGATCAATGGAAAAGAAACCCACACCAGAGTGTATCCTTCAAAATGTGGAACTTTCACGCTGGAAAAAGAAAGGCACCGCAGCACTAATGGGAGGTTTGCATTGTGGTGAAGAAGATATATTTAGTAGGATTGTCTGATTAGTACAATTCTTATACCGAATAAAATGTGCGAAATGTCATATAAAATTAAATATTGGTAAATATCATATGATTTTCTAACAATTTTTTTGTACACTCGAAATACAAAATAGCACATATAATATGAGCGGACTACAAAGTTGATGAATCTCACTTGTAAAATGCATTACTTACTATTTGGAAGAAAAAACGAAAAGAAACGAGACCGAGCAAAACAAGCCGAATATGGCAAAAACCGAAACAAGCAAAGCCCAGAGAGAAACGGGACAAACCGCTTACCATCTGATTCCAATCAATCCAACAATTAAAAACGATTCTTAAATTAAATACATGCTAGGTTCTTAAACATTTTTCTTAGCTTGTGTACAAGTACTGAATCTGCTGCGAGAGTCTACCATCCTCCGTCGTTCGTCACCGCCATGGCCACCGACTTCAAGTCAATACCCATCATCGGTAAATAGTTAAAAACCAAATCAAATAGTACCCAAAAACCCAAAGATTGAATTTTTCATTGATTTTTGTATTTAATTTTGGATCTTACTGCAGATATTGCTCCTCTTTTGGCCAAATCCGATGATCCAAAAATGGGCCAGGACCCGGATGTCGCTCAAGTTGTCAGACAATTGGATCGAGCTTGTAAAGAAGCTGGCTTTTTCTATGTGGTACTTTGAATGAAATTCTCTCGAATTTAATTTAAACCCATGAAAGATTTGCCATTTCTTTTCCTATTTTTTTGAGTTTTATGGGGTTGGTGGTTTTTGTAATTTGGCAGAAAGGACATGGTATTCCCAAGACTCTGCTGAAACAAGTCAAGAATCTGACACGCAAGTTTTTTGAGCTTCCATACGAAGAAAAACTCAACATCAAAATGTCTGCTGATAGTGGATTCAGGTATATATAATTATATATACGTCAGTATGTATGTGTGTGTGTGCATCTTTGTGAATGAGGATTAATTTTATGATATATGATTAGTGTATGTGTGATTTGTATTAAGAGAAGGCTTGATTTTCCATGCAGAGGATATCAGAGAATTGGAGAGAATATTACCAAAGGTGTACCTGACATGCATGAGGCTATTGATGTATGTCTTGATTTTATAAACGCATTTAAGTTTTCAGTCAAACGTTGCCAGAAGTAATTAAGCTATTTAAAAGTGCTTTTACCCATTGTAAAAGTAATGCGAATATGCTTTTGTATACTTTTCATTTTTACCTTACTGATTACCATTTTGTTTCACGTGTAATAGTGCTATAAAGAATTGAAACCAGGGATGTATGGAGATCTTGGAAAACCAATGGAAGGACCTAACCAATGGTAGGCACAAATTAAGGCCTTCCCTGCTAAGTATACTAATACAGATTTTCTTTTAAATAACGCATTCGAGTTTGGTATTTCAAGTAAATTTTGTATCCTTATCTTGACTACGAAAAGATTGTCTATGTAATATGAAAAACAGAGCTGATCTAACATTGTATATGAAATAGTATGCGCACCTTAGTTGAATTAGTGTAGCAGAGCTTTTGCACAAGTCTAGCTCTAGTAAGGACTGCTGTTCAAATTTAAGGAGAAAAGTTCTGTTTGGAGGCGTGGAACACCCCATTGTCCTGATCACCATTGAACGAAATTCATTTATGTTTTGTAATCACAATGCTGCTCTTGACTCATTAAACAGTACACAAAGTTGATACCATTTTGGAAATTGAATTGTGACTACATGTCTATCCTTATGTTGGGTTATTCTGGAATTAGTGTTCGGTCTAGAAACTCCATGTTTATCCCTTTCGAGCTTACTATAGACTTCACAGCTGATTCTTGCATAGTGTTACTGAAGTTGTTCATTTCGGTTTGTGATCCTTTGTGCAGGCCAGATAATCCCCCAGAATTTAAGGTACTAATGGAGGAATATATCAGCCTTTGCACAGGCATGTTTTCCATGGATAACAAACTTTTTCCCTTTTTTCCACACTTTAATCTTTCCATATTCTCTTGGTTACAAGCTTTTGTTTCTCGTTCCTTACAGGCCTTTCAAAAAAGATCATGCGTGGAATTGCGTTAGCACTGGGTGGATCACCATATGAATTTGAAGGTGATAGAGCCGGGGATGCATTTTGGGTGATGCGTCTTATTGGTTACCCAGCTGCACGCTCTACAAACACCTCGGACATTCCAAAAAATGACGTCGGATGGTAATGCTCTATTGCTGCTTAGGATGCTTGCACTTTCCTTTATATCTAAGTCATATGTTATTGATGTCCTTTCCTCTCTTTTCTCCCAATTGTGTCCTTCTGATCATGTCTGGCGGGCAAACAATTGCAGTGGAGCTCACACTGATTATGGTAACTTTAGTTCGCCTTTAGCAAGTAGTGACCTAGGAAAATCAATAAATCCCAGTCTTCTAAATTGTTGCATTACAGGTTTGTTGACATTGGTTAATCAGGATGACGATATAACTGCTCTTCAGGTAAGATTATTCCTTTCCTAGTGTTATATGCTGTCAGCATCCTGCTGCTCTAGTTTCCATACAAGTTGAGTTGAATGACTTGTTGAAGGTGAGAAACCATTCCGGTGAGTGGATATCAGCTCCTCCTGTTCCCGGGACATTTGTCTGCAATATTGGAGACATGCTAAAGGTAATACTTATCTGTGTATTCAGTGTTCCTAATATTTGTACCGACTCCTGGATTAAGTACTAAGTCATTCTCTCCCTGGAATGAGTGCAGATTTACTCAAATGGTTTATACGATTCCACTTTGCATCAAGTTATCAACTCCGCTCCAAAATACCGGGTCTGTGTAGCGTATTTCTATGAGGTATGAGATTAGCTGGTTCATTTATTCGCTCATTCTTTCTTCTTGTGTTGCGTTCTCCACACCTTATTTCGGTTTCTGTTCTCTTTGTTATTGTTCATATTTTGGTGCTAACCTCCACTGTACGTGCTTCTTCGTGTGTTAACAGACAAATTTTGATACAGCAGTGGAGCCCTTGGATTTTTGTGTAGAGAAGACAGGTGGAGCCAAGAAATTCGAAAGAGCCCTTTATGGAGAACATTTGGTTAACAAGGTCCAAACAAACTTCGGTTAATAGTCGAAATATTAGTGTCTAAAGCTCTAAGCATCTATTGTATTGAGTGAACGAATCCTGGTAATTTGGTGAAACTACTTTTTGAATTGGCCCACATCGAATGGCAATGACCAACCCCCAAGATTGGGGGTGTTTGTAATTGGAAAGTGATTGAATTCCAACAAAAATTGAAGGCATGTTGGATACTCTACTTGAATTAGACATTTTTAAACTTACAAACACTTTTTAAGTTTTAAGCTTTAAAATTTTTTTGGTAGGATTATTTAAAAAAACTGAACTTAAGACTGACAAAAAAAAAGTCTATTCTTTAAAAACACTAAACGTTGTTGCAATCATATTTAGAATAGGAATGTGATTGTGTAAATCCTAGTAGGTATGAGAATGTATCTTATATTCCTATTAGGAGTTGATTACCTATTAAATGTTGTAATCCTAAAAGAAAAGGTTTTTACCTATCCTACTACCATAAATAAAGGCACAATGGGGTGAATCAAACACACCTCACAATTAAATCACCCTCTCTTCTTTCTAAATGTGGCTAGCCCTCTCTCTCTCTCTAATCCCTAGATCATTCAATCAAATGGGCCTACAATACGTTATCAGTACGCTCTTACCAGAAACTAAGGAATTGACGCATCGTAGGAGGAGGCTATCATCCACCAAATTCAAAGGCTTATTTTTGTTTTCTGCTAAGCAGATACGCTTAAAATAAAAGAAGATATTTGAAACGTCCACGAAGTATGAAAACATTCCCCATGATGCATGAACTCTTTTATGTTTATATTTTCCTTACGATATATATATTGTATATGTTAATATATTTGTCAATATATGTATTTGTTTCATGCATCGCACAATTAATTTGTTATGTGGAATATGTGAGTCAAAGTATAAAATTAAATTAGAAGCATTTTTAGGGTTTCCTTAAGCCTAAGGGATTTTGAAAAAAAAAAAAAAAAAAAAAAAAAGGGAAACTGGACATGGTGCAGCACACCCACTGCACCACCACTATGCACATCATAACCAAGCCTCGGCCTGGGGCAACTTTTGATGGGCCTGAAGCCCTGAGCTCGCCTACACCATTGACCTACACATCGCAACCTTTTATGGTTGATGGGCTTGTGCCTTAGCCATGAGCCTGTAGCCCTGGTTCTAGGTCTACGCCAGCAAGTTGTTATGCTTGCTGGGCTTTGTAGCAGCCCCGGCCGGCATCACATACAACCAGCCCATTGTGACTTGGCTTCCTATGCGAACCCACAAGCTAGCAAACATGCTAAACCTAAACCCGTGCCCCCTTCGGCCCAAAATTTAAACCCAGCTGTAGCTGAGGTTTCTCCCACACCCTCGTCGCCTGCAGCTCACTCCTAAAGCCCTTTAAGGTCCTGCCTTTTACTGAAGGCACCCAACCCGAGCCCAATTATTTTTGGGGCAATATTTTTCGACCCAAATGCTATTATTTTAGCATTCTAAATAATTTTAACCTGTATGTTAGTATTATTTTAGCTTCTACAATTGACCATGTATGGCCCGATTTATTGAATTAATTAAAAGTGACCTGCAATCCATTAATATGACAATGAATCCAAATTTATTGACCTGAAGATCACTTTTGGACATTAACGATTCAATAATTTATTTTTATACTTTGAACTATAACATACTTTCGTAGTAATAAAGCTCTCACACTTGTGTTCCTGAAGAACCTCAAATCCACTATATTTAAATTAGTATATTGCGTTATGTGTTTCTTGCAGGAACATCTCATTATGAACTAATTGTTCATAAGACTAAATTGAACCTGTAGTTTCAAATTTTGGGCCTTTGAAACTTGAAGTTTTCATTCAAAACATACCACATGAAACCTGTAGTTTTTATGTATAAATTAAACCAATACATGTCTATAGAACCTGTATGTTCTACGATACATGTCTATGGCTTCCATATGACTAATCACGTTTTTTTCCCTCCGTTTTAGGGACATGTCGAACTTGAACAAGCTCAATTTCTTCGCTCTAGAAGCCTCTGGAAGAAACTATCTGAAGCGGGTTCAAAACGGGAAGCTCCATTTGATTGCAAAGGGCATCACAACCACCATCGAGGCACCTATCGTCGACAAACTTGTTGACAAAGCTCAGAAGGTTAATGCAATGATCTTCATTAGAAGATACATCCATGATGCACTGCAGACCGAGTACCTCGCTGAGCAGGACCCACGCACCTTCTGGCTTGCTCTGGCTGACTATTTCAATCACCAGAAAGACATCTACTTGCCTGAAGCAAGACACGATTGGTAGCATCTTTGCTTCTAGGACTTTAAGTCCGTGAATGAATACAACTCTGAAGTTTGTAGAACTCGTTCATTGTTGAAATTCTGCAAAGTGGAACTAATTGAATTAGATCTCTTGGAGAAGACCTATTCGACCTTCCATACCACCACTATTGTCCTACAACAACAATATAAGGCATATAAATTCACCAAGTTTTCAGATTTGATCTTTGTTTCACTTCTCGTTGAAAAGCATAACCAACTTTTGATGAGGAATCATCAATCTCAACCCACTGGCTCAAACGTCGAGCCTAAAGCGCATGCGACACATTCTAGCAGCTATAAACAATGAAAGAATCATTGTGGCCATGGCAATGGGTGGCAAGCCCCACCACGGGCCCAAGGTCAATAGAGTGCCGCACCTAAGGGAAGAAATGTGACCCAGCAACGTCTACCACTCGCCCATAAGGCCCCAAACTTCAAGAATAAGGGCAAAGCTCCCGTTCAGCCTGCTTCTACTGAACTGGACATGTGTTATCACTGTGGATCAAGGGATCATTGGTCATGCGTATGCCGAGCTTCCCTTGAGGCTATTGCCAAGTATTATTCCTGTCGTGAGTCTAACTTTGCACATGTGGATCATCCGGAAGATGCAACTACATCAATGGAGATATCGGATTTTCAGGAGGCGTCAACGCCTATGGATGAATAAATCAGACATATTTTTAGGGTGTTTACCCCTAGTGGTCGAACCCACTAGGAGTGGTCGGCCCCTGCCCCTACCCCCCCTTCTACTTTCTAGGTTTATGGTTTCATTTTGAACAATTTTTCTATGTATTTGGAATAATTTGTTTGGTTTTGGTTTGTTTTGAATTATGGATTATTATTTTCTCGAATTGCTTAATTGAATGAATGAACTTATATTTATGCATGTGACCATTTCAATCAATTTATTTCTAGGTATGTCTAGTGGGGAAGTTAGTTGTTTGGTAGATAGTGCAACCACGCACACCATACTACGTGAACGACACTATTTTACTAACTTAATACCCAAGAAAGCTCATTTAACAACTCTTTCAGGCCTATCCAACTTAATTGAAGGATACGGAAAGGTACGTACCATGTTGTCTAATGGTACTATCTTAACCATTAAGGATGCACTATATTCTCCACGTTCCAAAAGAACGTTGCTGAGTTTTAGAGATATTCGAGATAATAAATATCATCTTGAAACCACTGAAGATCATGCTTCTGAATTTCTTTGTATCACTTCATATGAATATGGCCAGAAACGTATTCACAAGAAGTTGGAACGTCTGTTGAATGGGTTGTACATCACAACCATTTGCAGCATATAAGCCCACAATGTGATTGGCCCTATGCCTGAGTTCCATGACACTTTGTTGCTTTTGCATAACTGTTTGGGACATCCCAGACATGACATGATGCGTCGTATCCTCAAATCATCATACGGTCATAAGTTACATCCCTATGCTGGACTTTCGCCATGCAAAGCGTGTCCTTTAGGGAAGTTGAATATTCAACCCTCATATACAAAGATTATTCACGACCCCCCTAAATTTCTTCAGATGATTCAAGGGGACATTTTGGACCTATCTAACCAACATGTAGACCATGTAGATACTTTATGGTGTTGGTTGACGAATCGACAAGATGGTCACATGTTTACCTGTTGTCTACACGCAATGTTGTGTTTACTAAGCTTCTAGCTCAAATCATTAAGTTAAGGACTCACCACCTTGATTATTCGATTAAGCCGATTCGACTGGATAACGCTGGAGAGTTTACGTCACAAACTTTTGAAGATTATTGCATGTCAGTAGGGATTAATGTGGAACATCTTGTACCCCATGTTCACACCTAAAACGGCCTGGCAGAAGCTTTCATAAAGCGTCTTCAATTGATAGCTCGGACTTTGGTTATGAGAACCAAACTGCCGGTATCTGCCTGGGGCTATGCAATATTATACGCAGCTATGTTGGTCCACCTGAAGCCCACCGCTACTCAACCACATTCACCGTTACAGTTGGTTACTGGATACGAGCCTGATGTCTTGCATTTATGGGTGTTTGGGTGCGCCATTTATGTGCTAATAGCACCGCTGCTACGTACCAAAATGGGTCCTCAGAGAAAAATGGGAATCTATGTCGGTTATGATTCACCATCAATTGTTCGCTACTTAGAAGCCATGACAGGATATCTCTTTACCGCACGTTTTGTGGATTGTCACTTTGATGAGACAGTATTCCCATCATTAGGGGAGAAAAGTATGCTAATGTTCCTGCAGAATGTCACGAATTTTTGTGGTATGCTCCCACTATGTCTCATTTAGATCCACACACTGCCCAGTCTGAAACTGAGGTGCAACAAATTATAGATCTTTAGAGTATTGCTCAAAGCATGCCGAATGTTTTTAATGATCTAGCAAAGGTGACAAGATCACATATACCCGCTGCAAACGCACCTGTAAGGATAGATGTACCCCGCATACATCAACAACCTCCTAGGAAAGCCAGACCATCCCCGAAGGTGAGGAGGCCACACCCTCCACGCGGCAAGGTACATTGGCTGCTAGCTAATCAGCTGCTCCGACCCTGAAGCGTGGCAGACCACTTGGTTCAAAGGATTCACAACCCCGGAAGAGGAAAATGGCACCAACTAGTAACCCTAGTTTTGAATCCAACCATCGCTTACTTGTATGTTCCAACGCATAAGGTTATTCTAGATTATGGTGATGCTTCAGATGAAACATGTCAACCTCTAGAGAATCGTGAGATTTCGGTCCACTACACAATATTGGATGAGGTTTGGAATAGGAATGAGATGATCGTCGATGATGCATTTGCGTACTCAGTAGCTACTGACATCATACTTAGCGATGACATTGAA